TACTGGTACTGGTACTAGTACTGGTACTAGTACTAGTACTAGTACTACTACCACTACTACTACTACTACTACTACTACGACGACGACGACGACGACGACGATCACGACTATGTTTAGGATCTGGGGTTTAGGGTTGGCTTGCGGGCAAAGGCACCGCAAAGATGACTCTTACAGCATCAATCGATCAGGCCACGTCTTACCCCACTTAACAGAGGGGCCTCAATGTTTCCAACGGGGTTGGTTTGGGGTGCACATGATGCTCTAGCTATAAGAAATAAACCTAAGGAATGTTGAAGGTTTTACCATCACTGACGGGCACCCAGAAATCCGGGAGCACGGAGGCTGAAGCCTCTCTGTTCGGAGGTTCGGGGTACTCAGACCTGATTAAAACTCGTAGTATCAAACAACGGAAAAGTTCCATAGGATAGTTGCCAGGGTTTTATATGATTGGCTCATAAGTAATTACTGTCGGGGCCTCAATAATTGGAATAAACTCTACAATTAGAGTACACTAAGCAATAATCATACTTCAGAGCCCCAGCAAAATAGGAGTTGTAATTCTCAAGGCCCCTATCTTGTTGTTGAAACCATGTTTCGCTCCAAAGGAGTTCCTGTCCAAACCCCCTAAACCCTAAACCCTGAAACCCCAAACCCCCAAAAAAACCGTGCAAAACACGCCCTCATAGAGTCCTAAGCCCTGAAACTCTGATCTGCAATCTCCCACAGCCCTAAGCCCGAAGCCCTAAAACCCTAAACCATAAGTCCCTGTAATCCTCAGGTTTAAGGTGTCGGCATTAAGGCATGAAGGTGGCGGGTTTAGTAATTTAGGGTTTAGGGTCCCCTCAAAACCCTCAAGCCCTAAACCCTCAACCCCAGCCATCCTTAAGCCCTTTCCCTTTCTAGGAACCCGACTTAAATCTAGGGCATTTTCAGGTGGGTAGTTACCGTTATAGGAGCCTTCTAGAAGGTCTATATACCTTATGGAAGCCTTATACAAGCCCTATATACCCTAAACTCCCCACCTGTAGTTTCCTGCAATTAAAGGTTCGTGGGACTTAGTAACTAGGTTTATAAATAAGGCTTATAATTAAGGTATACTTATGATTGCTAATCGCCCCAATTACTGTACTCATAACTGTACTTATTAAGTCCCATGAACCTCCAAGTAGACAGTAAACCCTGAACCCTAAACCCCTGTAGAACCCTAAACCCTGTACCCCTGTAGAACCCCGAACCCTAAACCCTAAACCCTAACCCCAAAGCCTGAACCCTAAAGCCTAAACCCGAAAAACTGCGCCTGAACTGCGTCTCCACCTCATTGAGGCAACCAAGCAGAGATCCGTCGGAGGATCCTGGCAGGATCTTCCACAGGGCTCCTTTAAGGGGTCCTTTCAGGGTTTAGGCTTTAGGGTTCTACAGGGGGTTTAGGGTTTAGGGTTCTACAGGGGTTTAGGGGTTTAGGGTTTAGGGTTCTACAGGGGTTTAGGGCTTAGGGTTCTACAGGGGGGTTTAGGGTTAAGGGCCTAGGGTTCTAAAGGGGTTTAGGGCTGAGGGTTCTAGAAAAATTTAGGGTTTAGGGTTCTACAAGGGTTCTATGAGGTTTCGGAGCTCCCCTTAAAGAGCCCGAAGCCCGACAGCTGCAAACACGGAACACCCTGAAGCCATATAGAAGTGGGGATTAGGGTTTAGGGTATAGGGTATAGGGTTTAGGGTCTAGGGTTTAGGGTTTAGGATCTGATCCGCAAGAACCGAGAACAGCCTTTCCACCCCTTCCCTGCCTGCCAGCTCGACGGATGCCTGAGAGCTAGTTTTTTGGAGCCCCTTCGTTCCCAGCTTATAGGATCCGGGTTACGAGCGGCTTTGGTTTGGGTTCTGCTTTCAGGATGCCAGATACGGCCTTAGCTCCTGTATTCTAGTGCGGTTTTTGACAACACTTTTTTATGGCTATGGGGCACATGACCTAAAAGACAAGTAACTACAGTTTAGTGTCCGGGCCCTCAACCCTAAACCCTAAACCAGGTAGACTAAAGCTCCTGAACCCAAGCCCTCAACCCCCAAACCGGGGCGATTGAACTGGCACATCAACTCCTAAGACTCAAGAACCCCAAAATAACTTCCAAAACACAGGGTTTAGGCTTTAGGGTTTCCTCAAGAAGCCCCAAAATAACTTCCAAAACGCAGTACTGAAAACCCTAAACTCCTGTCCCCCGGGCCCTCTTCACAGAAAAAAAGAGTAACACCAAAACCACACCCCCAGCCTGCTGTCGGTGTATGACCGCTTCCAGAGCCTCCGCCTTGAGATCCATCCACTCGAGCACACCTCGGAATTTTCGGGGTAATGAAGACTTTCAAAGCTGTTCAATGCTTTTTGCATTATCACAGTGTCTTCTAGCATTGCTGTCTTATTGGGACTTCATCAGGTATTGTTCTGTAAAAGGTTTTACAAGGCATCCAGGGTTTAGAAGCTTTTGCATGGGTAGTCTGAAAGGTTTTAAAGCTTGTCAGGTTCTGATGCTAAACTCGAAAACCCCCTAACTGTTTGCTTTGTCTTTGAGCTCCTCTTCTCCTACGGCACCGGGCTCGCTCGGGATATGGGGGTGGGGGCCGATCCCGTTTCAGGGCCTTGGATGGGGAATCACAGACTTGCAATGGGCTTGCGGAACAAAAGCTTTAAGTTAAAAGCTCCTTATATTATAAGCCGAAACTCCCAAGCCCACCAACCAACAACAACTATACAAGATTCAGGTCTGTTACCCTAAACCCTGAACCCTGCGTGTAACGGTCTCTATAGAGGTCTGGAGCAGTTTCAGGGTTTTAGAAGGCTTCTGAAGGTGTGGCTAGGAGGTGAAATGGCTTAGGGGGATTTTGGGATTCCGGGCAGCTGTTGCATTGCTTTACGGCCTGCATGGGATTTGAGGGTCTGGATGTTGGGGATACGGGTTTAGGCACTGAGGGCGCTGGGGTTCCGAATTTAGGGTCTGGGGTCTGTAGCTTCGGGGTTCGGGTTTGAAGCGTTTGTGGTTAAGGTGTTAGGGAGAGGGCTTGATGGCTCCTTGCTTGAGCGGCTAGTTTCACTAATGCTGAGTGGCTTAGGGTTGTGTTGTTTGAAAGTTTACCGTTTTAGGGTCTAGAGTTTGGGGCTGTCTAGTTTAAGCTTTCTTGATGTTGGGCGCTTGGTTTGACTGAGTGCCGGAAAAGATATCATGTTTCACAGGATACTCCAAGCAGTGGGATTTGCTAGCTCCTTGCTGCAGCTTCTTTCGTCGGTTGTAAACTTCTATCACGGTACTGTGGGCCAGTTTGAATTGTGGCTTCGGCAGTTCTTGCACCGAGGCTCTGTGTCAATGGCTGGCTGCTTGGACCCTTGGGCTATGAACAGGGCCTGCAGATTGCAATGAATTCTACGATGCTTTCTCTCACTTGTTGTTAATGTAGAACCCTCAAATGCTCGTCAACTTTCTGGCCTCAAAATTGTTAGTTACTGCATCGCCTGGGCATTGCCGGGAACATGCGCTCGAAAAAATCATAGGCCCCAACGGTCCGAAAGATAACGGTAAATAGGATCCTCGTAAGAGTTTAGGGTTTAGGGTTTAGGGTTTAGGGTTTAGGGCGGTCCGGAAAAAAATCGTAAGCAAGATCCTCGATAGAGCAATAACCGAAACTAGAACCCAAAGGCCTGCAGTACCCAGAAATTGGACATCCGACTGAATTGTCACTCCACGTACTGAGTAAACGCACCCTAAACCCTAAACCCTAAACCCTAAAACCCTAAACCCGAAACTCTAAAAACCCAAACAACCAGTCCTGTGGAGTTGACAAGGCTCTGTCAGGTAGGACCACGGCGCTGATCTTGATGCAAGCTTTTCGGTTGGCCGTCCACACCTGCTCATCTAGGGGCCTTCATAATTAGAACAGGGTTTTGGGGTATGGTATACTATATTTATAAGGAACCCCCGATTAGTATAGGTAATCAGGCCCCATATATATATATATATATAGTATACTATATTTATAGGGAGCCCCCAAAATAGTATAGGTAATGATTAAGGCCCCCTATATTACACTCCTTTGCAACGAGGGTTCAGGGTTTAGGGCTTCGGGCCGAGGTCGTCAAGGAAGGTCTCTGTGCTCTTAAGATCTCTACGGCTGATGGACAAAATCCTGCATGACCTTACATACCTAAACTATGGGATTTATGCTACTATACTATATTTGGGTCATGCAGAATTTTGTCCATCAACAGTATAGGGTGTCTGTTGGGTATGTAGGGCCCCGTAGGGTTTAGGGTTTAGGGGATTATACTGTGATCAGGTACTTAAAGCTTCATGGGACTTAGTAACTGGGGTTGTAAACCAGGTAACTATACGTATCATTACTTATAACCCCAATCAGGGTACTTATAGCTGTACTTACTAAGTCCCATGAACCTCCAAGTAGGGATCTGTTGGGGTTTGTAGGGCTCCATAGGAGGCTTATACTGCTGCCCTAAGGCTCTACGGGCTCATAGTTTAAGGCTTCTGGGTCCAAAGACCATACTACATATGAATTTTGGGCGATTTTGAGCCCTGGGGTTCGCGTCTCAATGAAGGAGGGAGTACCTTTAGATTGGGACTCTGGTACTACAAGGGACTTACGGTTTAGGGTTTAGTGTGTGGCACACAGAAACTACCAACATCTTGAAGACCCTAAACGGCTCGGAACCCTGGACCCGAGCTGAACCGACCCGTGAAACGTAGGACACCGCCAGAAGTCGAAGACTCCCTAACTACCTTAACCATGGACCATACCTTAAACTACCAAAACCTACTTTTTTGTAGGGTCCCTATAAACTCGATATTAGGGTTTATAATAAGGACCTACAAAAAAGTAGGTTATGGTAGTTCAAGGTAGGGTTGAGGGTTTAGAGTCCAGGACTGAGGAGACCAGATAAATGTGCTGTCTACCATACTCTGTCTGTGCGCGCGCATGGCCGCAAACACCGCTGCCGCAGCTGGAATTTCTAGAACAGGAAATCTAGCAGAAAGCCTTAGTCCGTTAGTTCTGTGTCGTGAGCTCCGTGTGTTTGGAAGATTCCCAGATCTTCCAACATCCCCTGAATTCAGGAATACGCCTTAAATCATATCCGGAATCCTCCTACAGTTTCAATCTAAAGTAGACTCCTTAATTAAAGGGAGTCGGAAGATCTAGAGGGCTCGGCGGCGTTGCACGCGCAGGAAGAAGAAACAAGGAAAGATAACAGACCATGTTTGCTTGCTTGATGACAAAAAAACCCTGAAACCTCAACCCAGCAAACAAAGCCACAGCCGATGGAATCCTCAAGGGTTTTAGAGTTTTCATGTTTAGCGCCTGGGGGACAATGAACCCTGACTACAAACCACGCCCTTAGTTGCCAGCAAGGTGTCGGTCATCACAGCCGTCGGGGACATAGAGATGCGCTCATGCTGTACCGGAGCATCCTCGAATGCATCCAGGGACCCTAAACCCTAAAGCACTAAAGCCCTAAACCCTAAAGCCCTGAACCCTAAACCTCTACACCCTAAACCCTAAAGCCCTGAACCCTAAACCCCTAAACCCTAAAACCAGGTTCAGGGCTTAGGGCCTAAAACCCAAGACCCTAGACCCTGGCCGTAAACTGCATGGTAAAACTTTCAAAGTAAACCAAAAATCAAAGTGAATCTACTGATAGATATTCTTTACATAGAAGAAGAATCACCTCTAAACGAAGCCCCGGCCAGATGCCCCTCCCGGCCGATCGTTGGCAGTCAGAAAAACGTACCGGTTTAGGGTTTAGGGTTTAGGTCTAGGGTTTAGGGTTTAGGGTTTAGGGTTTAGGGTTTTGGGTTTTGGGCTTAGGGTTTAGGGTTTAGGGACCCCAGAAGTATGTAGCATAATAGCTTTTTATAGGTGTTGGGCCATTATTTTCCCGGTGGCCGGGAATTTAGTACTATATTCTTTTAAAGACGCTAAGGGAACAAGAGGAGTATTACTTATTTAGGAAGTCATATTTACATGCCCTGCGGCGTGCTGAGCGAGATTTCAAACTTCGTAAGCCCGAACTTTGTGAGACCTGGAGTTAGAACCCTCAGCCCTAAACCCTAAATCCTAAACCCCGCCCCAAGCAGCAAAACTCAAAACCCTTCATACTCTTAACCCCACAAGCCCTAAAGCCCGAAACCAACAACACCAGAACCCTGAATTCCGAAGCAACACATACCTAACCTAACCACCTAAATCCCTGAATCCTAAGTATGCAAACCCCGCAAATTGAAATTGAAAAAAGTTCTAGCAGTTCTAGCCCTCATTGGATTCCCGACAAACTTAATGTTATGAACACTTGTGGGGTCCTAAACCTTAGACCCCTAAAACCTAAACCCCAAACCCTAAAGCCTGTCGAGTTTGGGGCTTAAACAAATACAGGGCTCAAGGATTTAGGGCTTAGAATGGTTAAAGGGCTGAGGTTTAGGGTTTAGGGCTGAAAAGTTTAGGGCGAAGGCTGAGTAGATTACTGTAAGTTTGGTGTGAGGGCTGAGTAGAGTAGGGTTTGGACTTGTTCACTGCCTTTGATTCCTAAAACCTAAACCATAAACCCCTAAACCCTAAACCCTAAACCCTTGAACCCTAAACCCCGAACCCTAAATGGGGCGATCTTGAGACTCTGAGACCGCGGTCTACCTGGGCCACAACGTACGAAGACTAAACCCCCCAAACCCTAACCATCATCCGTATTCAGACCCATGACATACGGCTATATCTTCATCTACTACCAAGATTATAGCTTACTTTCTTGTATTATATCTAAGCCTTCAAACACTTCTTGGCCATTTGAGGCTGAGCCTGGCAGTCCATCAATGAAATATTAGCTTGTATACCCTGTGCCTTAAACTTGCCTAGATGTGCAGGACCCTCAACCCTAAACCATGCACCCTAAACCCCAAAAAACGTGTACAGGTTGGGGGCCGGGGGGACCCTCAACCCTAAACCATGTACCCTCAACCTCACAAAACGTGTACAGGTTGAGGGGAGTCTTGGCTTGGCAGACCGGTCCAAGTTGCAGAAGCATCATCGCCGCCATCAGAGTGCAGCCTGAGTCAAGTTCAGGGTTAAGGGTTTAGGGGTTTAGGGGTTTAGGGGTTTAGGGGCTTAGGGTTTAGGGGTTTAGGAGTTTACGGGTTTAGGGGCTTAGGGTCTACTACCTACAGTCTCCATTGCAGTTCCTTTTGGGGGATTACCTTATAGGATCCTTAACATATACCTGGTTAAACCAAAGAAAGGAGCTGCAATGGAGACTATAAACCCTAAACCCTAAACCCTAAACCCTAAACCCAGGAACGTAGCAGATTTGGAGTTACGGCTTTGGCTGTCGGGCTTCCCTAAACCCTACAACTCCAAAGCCCCTAAACCCCTAAGCCCTAAACCCCTAAGCCCTACACCCCTAATCCCCCTAAACCCCCAAACCCTAAACTGTCGGGCTTTATGTTTTCGGGCGATTTAAACTGGCAGTTCATAGAACACGGGGAACCCCGCAAAAAACGAAGTCCCCCCCCCCCCTTCAAAAAAACACGAGGATCCTCATCACAACAAGGACCTTTACATAAGATCTCCCCCTTCTACTCGTCGTCAGACAGAGCCACCCCAGCTGGGAATTCGCCAGACATGTCAACTGCGAGCTTCACACGGGTCCTGGCTAGGCCAAAAGGGGGTGCCCGAGGTTAGCATCGGCAGAAATCTTCTTGCCTGGTGCACAGCCCCAAGATGAAGAAGCACCAGAAACATATTTCAAAGTTGGACCCTAAACCGGAAACCCTAAACCCTAAACCCAAGATGAACAAGCACTGGACAATTTACAAGAACCCAACCTTCGGTTTCGATATCCCGAAGCCCTTAACCCTTAAAGGTGCCCTAGCCACCCTAAGCCCCGTCTCCTACGGGTCTAGGGTTTAGGGTCCAAATGAAGCCCTGGATCAGGGCAAGCGGCCCTGAGATCACACTACCGGCTTCCGTGGAGGTGTCCTCGGCACAAACATTGGGAGGCTTCAAAACTGCTCCAGCTTCTAAATGTAGTGCTTCGGGTTGAGAAGGGCGTGGTGGGGTTCAGAGACGTTGAAAGTCCTGTGGGGGGTACTTAAAGGCGTCATGTGACGCAGTAACTAGAGTAGCTATACTTATGTCTGCTTATAACCCCGATCAAGGTACTCATAACTGGGCTTATTGAGTCCCATGACCCTCCATGAAGGGGTTTGCAACAAATCTTGGGTTATTCTTCGAGTGTACCTATATTCTCCATTGTAGTTCCTTTTTTGTTTAACCAACTATATATTAAGAATTTTATAAGGTATCCCCAAAAAGAACTACAATGGAGACTACGGGTATTCTTCGAGTAGAACACCCAGGCCGAGTTTACATTGAAAAGAGCCGAGCTGGGCTGCAGCGACGCCTGGAAGAAAAAAACTGCTTGGAGGTTGATGGGGCTTTATAAGTACAGTAATAGGCACCTTACTCGGAGCTATAAGTAACTCTAAGTATACCTACCCTATTGATAACTAGTTACTAAGTCCCATGAACTTTTAACTGGGCTATTGAACTACGGATACGATGCTGCCTGGATGGGGTTTCAGGAACAGCAGCCAACCAGCAAAAGGGGCTTCGGGGAACAGCTCTCGATTGGGAAGTCTGACAACAAGCGCCCTAAAAAGACAACAACTCAGTACATAAAGGCTCATGGGACTTAGTGTCTAGGGTCGTAAATGGCGAGGTAACTATACCTATAGTTACTTATCACCCCATTAAAGTTCTGTATCTGTTGTTATTAAATCCCATGAACCGCCAAGTACACCCTTCACCGCCTGCACTAGCTTCACACGCCCGAAACCCGCAGCCCTAAACCCTAAACCCTAAACCCTAAACCCCTAAACCCTAAACCCCAAACCTCGAATCCGCAACCATCCGAACGCCAAGGTCGACGCACAAAAAAACCCTAGACCCAACGGCCCTGGACCTAGGGTTTAGGGTTTAGGGTTTAGGGTTTCCCTGAACCCTACATAACCTACCTGAAAAAAAGTTCCGCATTCTGATTTCCTGACATAACTCCTTGAACATGTCGGTTCTTTGGGGTTCCAGGTAGGGCTTACGGCTTTGGGTCGAAAGGCTGTGCCCTTGGAGGTTCATGGGACTTAATGAGTACAGGTACAAGTTATAAGTACTACTCATTGGGTTTGTGTAAGTACTTACAAGTATAGTTACCTGATTGATATCCCCAATTACTAAGTCCCATGAGCCTTTAAGTTTCATACCCTTGGGAAGAAGGACCACGACGCTTCGGGATTTGCCAACTCTAAACCCTAAACCCTAAACACTAAGCCCTAAACCCTAAACCCTAAACCCTAAACCCCCAACTCTTCAGACTCCGAGATTCGGGGAGGTCTCAGGGTTCTGGAGGGTCTAGGTTTTGGGGTTTAGGGCTCGGGGTTTAGGGGTTAGGTTTTAAGGTTCTTAGGTTTTTAGGGCTTAGGTTTTAGGGTTTAGGGCTTAGGGTTTAGGGTTTGGGGTTTAGGATGGAAACCAACAACATCTTTCATACAACGCCGGAAAACAGGGCTTTGGTGGCTCAGGACCCTTGAATCCCATACGTTGCACCCTTGAACCCAAAACCATTAAACCCCTCAACCCCAAAGCTCTAAAAACCCTGAAGTCCCAAACAACAGAACCCCAAGGCCAAGCCCCTACGGCTAACACCAGCAATCGAGATAAAGATGCGAAAAGCCGCTGTAAAAGCCTATAATGTAGGAGCCTGACTAATTACAATAGGGTTTTGGGGTATATCATACTATGGTAATAATAAGGAACCCCCCAAATAGTATAGGTAGTTATTTTAGGCCCCTATATATTCTAGACCCTGTAAGAGGGTGCAGTATCCTTAGAGAACCCATCGTCGGCCGTGGCACCGTGAGGTGCGACATCCAAATCGGCAGCCACAGTACGGAGCCCTTCGGATCTAACCTCTCCATGGACACCTCGGTTTAGGGTTCAAGGGTTCAAGGGTTCAGGGTTATTCAGGGTTTAGGGTGTAGGGTTCAGGTGTTTCTTGGGACATATGTTGGTTTCGTGGCGCGTTAGGCTAAGCCCTAAACCTTATCAGTCCTTAAACCCGAAACGTCTCGCAAAGACTGAAATTATAAACACGCAGTTCGAAAATAAAGCCCCAATCCCTAAACTTCACGTCTTTCGTCTTTACGTCGTTGCTGCCGAGATGCTGACTTGGCTATGGATTCTCGCACAGCCACCAGAGGCGTGGAGACGGAAAACTCGACGTCCCGCGCATATAGCTTCTGCAGGCAGAGTTCTATTAGCGTTCCTTTAAGGGGCTCTAATGTAGGGGTCTTGATAATTAGAATAGGGTTTACTATAATCATACTAAGGAACCCCGAAAAAGTGTTGGTAGTTATTTAGGCCCCTACATGAGAAGCGTCCAGCCTTCAGGCTTTAGGGCCGAATAAAGGGGCCTGAAGAGTAAGAATACGGTTTTGGGACATCTTACATACAGTAGCATATGTATGTCTGAAGAAGCCCAAGGAACAGATGTGGGATTCACTCAGGCGCCTCTATTAGCTTAGCATCAGGAGCCCTCAGGAATGGTATTGGCACTAGTTAGGCTTCTATGCTTGCTTCTCCAATAAACAAGGGAAACAACATGTTAAATTGTCAGACTACTACTAGTTTATATGAACCCAAAAAGCTTAAAGGTTGGGTATTGGGGAACTAAGTAGGTTAGTCATCATTCCACGGCAGCTCCGGTATGACGAGACAGGACGCAAGCCTGACAAACTCCAGAGGAACCCGCAGCACAGAAAACAAGCACTGATGCCAGTTTCAGCACACGATTGACATCTGAGTTGCTAAAGACGGTTTAGGGCTAGGGACAGTGTGCCCAATGCATGTACATCCAGGATCTTATACTCTCCCCGAACCAGCACTGGAAGAGATGCTGTGCCAAACCATCACCCTTCTCCAATAATCGTTTGCTCCACGAATGAACTACCGACGCCTGCAGGTCGTGTGTGCAGCGCTTCAAATGCTCGTCCCCGCAGCATCCCAGCACGTTTTCGCCGGTGACCATCGCCTGCAGTCAGACGCTGCCAGTACTACATCACGAAAACATCATAAACAATCTGCTCATTACAAAACCTCAACACTACATCACCGAAACATGTGCTTATTTCCACGTGCGACTTGGATCAACTACCCAGGGAGTTCCCGATGTGTTCAACTGTTGTAATTAAATGCGAAATTGATGCTCCACACCCTTACAATCCTCCCCCCAAGACCGACACCCCACCGGATCGTGACAACCTTATATGAACTCCCAGCAGAACCTGATGTGCCCGGTTCTGGGACTGGGACCGAACCTTCTTGGTGGGCTCCCTGACCCTACCATCTTGAATCATGGCAGGGCTGCATCCCAAAAGAGTCCAGGCTACAGGGTTTGGGGTTTGGAAAAGCTTGAATCACGTTTGAGCCCTACCTTAAGAACCCAAAACCAACTTCTTTGTAGGCTCTTACTATAAACCCTAATGTGGGATTTATAGGGACCCTACAAAAAGTAGGTTTTGGGTTCTTAAGGTAAGGTCTAGCCCTAAAGAATGCTTTATCACGCTTTAAACTTCCAATCCTCTACACTCTACACCCATAAATCCCAACCAAACACTGTAGAACCACCATAGAACCTCATGAGAAATCCCCGAAAACCCTGAGAGACCACACACAACCTCATGAAAAACTCAACCCGAAGCCCTAAGTGACTGACTCATAAACCCTAAACCCCTATAAACCCAAAGCCAGGCAGAAGCCTCGATACTGACAGAGGGATCTGCACGATGCAGAAGGCCTTGCATCCGAGCCACGGACATTTCTCCCATCGCTCGTAGTTGTACGGTTACCCTAAAGGCCAAACTAGCCCAAAAGCCCTGAATAGTATGGTCTTTGGGCCCCAAAGCCTTAGAATAGCCTTAATAATTAGAAAAGGGTTTTGGGGCCCGTTGTACTATAAGTATAGTAAGGAACCCCCCAGAATATTATGGGTAATTATTTAGGCCCTACATAAATTGTAAGGTTAGGTTTTAAGTTTCCGACATATCCGCAAAGCCTGCACGCTTCCATCGGGTTTGTAGGGTCTGGAGTTTCTTAAAGCAGTACCTGAAGTCTCCATTGTAGTTCCTTTTTGGGGATACCTTATAAAATTCTTAATATATAATTTGTTAAACCAAAAGAAGGAACTACAATGGAGACTATAGCTACACTCGAAGAATAACCCAAGATTTGTTGCAAACCACTCCATGGAGGTTCACGGGACTAGGGCCCTAAACCCTAAACCCTAAACCCCTAAACCCTAAACCCTAAGTGATTTTTTAAGCGGTAAGAATTGAAAGTTTTCGAAGGTAAGCCCGGACCAACCACAACCCCCAACGGCCCGTGGTCCCAACTTTCTTGAAGCCTAGAACAGAACGCAAAGACGTAAGCTGGGTTTAGGGCTTATAGGGTCTAGGGTTTAGGGGTTTAGGGTTTAGAGTTTGAGGCTTAGGGGTTTAGGGGTTTTGATCTAATTCAGGCCCTCAACTTCCGAAACCCACAACTGTACTTCAAGCTTATACTGGGATGCTCCGGAGATCATCCCCGAAAGCCTGATAAAGGGGCCTTGCTGTAATTATCATGAGGAACCCAAATAGTGTTGGTAATTATTCATTCCTCTACATTACCGAAAATCCAAAGCGTCCACCCCCAAGGCCGAACCCTAATGCCACAGATCGGCGCAGACCCCGCTCGAGAGCTTTCAAATCCTCGACGCGGTTCGGCTGCCTTGGGGGTTTCAGTTCCGGAGGTGTTGGGTTCAGGATCTGGGGTCGAGGATTTTGGGAAAAGGACCTGGGGTCGAAGGTTTAGGATTTGGGCTTGATGCTGATATTCGAGGTTCAGGCTTAGGATGTAAGGTTCGCAGTTCAGGAAACTGAGGTTAGGATTGCTTAAGGCACGGGGTTTAGGAATGCGCTGCTGTTTCGTATGTGACTTACAGTCGTTTCAATAACCTTTGTAGCATCAAACATCAGACTCATTCAGCAGTAACTACCCTTAGTCTGCAATTCTGAAGAGACTGGTATAGTCATGTATATCGGTACAATGTTAAAGCAAGAGCATAGAACAGTGTTGAACGTGCTGAAAGGAAGAACAGAAGATCAGTTTCTATAGCACGGTTAGGGTTAAGGGTTTAGGAGAACATATGTGCTTGGTGACAGCGGGCTCTCTGCCAGAGGATTATTCAAACCGGAAAGATCTGACAAGCGCAGAGATGACAGAAATATCGAAATATGGGATTAGAGAGGTATGCAGGTAGGCGCATGGATAGGTGAGAAAATTGCACCCCACTCATTTGTTTATTTATTCGTACGAGTATATATCTCTGTATGTACATATATGTATACGCACTGTACATATACATACATAAACAGAAATACATGTACACATATACATCTTGAATGTATACAGGTCTGACTCCTGACTCCTCGCTCTCTCTCTCTCTCTCTGCAATGAGCGGCAGGCAGGATCGACAGAAACGTCGGGTAGATTGACAGTGGGACAGGAAACAGAAATGGGCAGGCTCCCAAAGAGCTAGGAGTAAGTATCGGTGGGCCTCAACCTACCTAGGGTTTAGGGTCTTTAGGGGTTCCAAGAACTATGAAGGTTAAGGGTGCCTTGGGATGTACTGCAGGGTGTAGGGTTTCATGTCAGTAAGAGTTTAATTATCGTTTCTGGGTTCAGGGTTTCACGGCCCATGGTTAGGATGCTTGGGCTCAGTACACACTTCCACAATGCGTCGCACTCTAAACTTGAAGTAAGCTGTCACTGCCCATGGTGGCATGGGCTTTGGACAGTTTTCCCTGCGAAAACCTATCTGAAGAGCGCATCCATTCCTAAAGCCTAAACGCTGACCCCTATTCGTAGCCAGACTATATAGCTTGATTTATTGTTTGCTCACCATGCTCCGGGTCTTGAGTGTAGTCATAAGTCGTGCTACCGCGCTTGCACGATGCTCCAAAAGTATGCTCCAAGCACAACTTAACCGGAATGCTGAACCCTAAACCCTGAACCGAAAGACTACGAACTCTGGACCATGCCCCGAAAGCCAAACCACCGCAATGCTGTCGAAGGAGCAGGTTGACCCTGACGATGGCGAAGGCCTTCATGCATGGCATTAGGACTTAGGGGTTTAGGGTTTAGGGTTCCATCAACCGACTCTACGACTGTTCATGGATTCATTAGTAACCTCACAGAGATCCTTGGTTTAGGGTTTAAGGTTCAGGGGTTTAGGGTGTAGGGTTTATAGGGCTTAGGGTATAACAACAAGGTACCCAGGCGTTCTGTGGGTGAAAAGATGATTAGAAAAAACGGCACCAGATTTTGTTTAATCAGGAGGACATGTCGTAGAAGCTCCGGATGCTAGTTAGTATCTCGGACTCGTGAACAGATTCTAATTACTAAGGCCCCTACATTATTTGTTGTGTATTCGGGCTGCTCATTTGTGAAGCATTCGGTTTCATTCACGATCCATCGAGAAAACGACACCCTAAAGAACAATGCAAAAGCCGACAAAGAACCGGAGAGCAAAAACTAGAAGATCAAAGCATATCGAACCTATGAAGCAGCCTGCAAGCCAGGTTGGTTTAGGGTTTAGGGTGTATCGTGTTTAGTGGGTTTAGGGTTTACGGTTCATCGTGCTTAGGAGTTTTGGGTTTAGGGTTTCGGGTCTAGGGTTTATAGTGTTTAGCGGTTTAGGGTTTAAGGTTTGGGGTTCTAAAGGCTGCTCTACCAAACTTGGATTTGGGAGCCCTTCTTATACTGGGCACCTTCCTGTACTCTCGACTCAAGTTCCTCTTTTGGATTAGAGGCGTTAGGCCTTCTGCGTTTAGGGATTTAGGGATTAGAGCCTCGGTCACTAACTAAGCCCCGGCCTCTGCATCTCGGGTTGGTACGGGTGGAATGCGTGCAGTGGAAGGTTTATGAGAATTGAGGATATTTGGGCTTTGCAATGTAGACCCTTGAAACTGACTTTCCTTCATTCAACTAAGAACCACGGGCCTACCATCAGGGTTGATCTCTCGGCACCAAATCCTAAATCCCAAAACCCACTAAACCTTTGGCCGGCCCTATAACATCCTTTAGCCTAGTGGCCTTCTCGGCTTAGGGCTTACGGTTCACCTAGGACCCCAAACCCTACTGTGTGGGGGCCTTAATAATTAGAATAGGGTTTTTGGGCTCCCTTATTGTATATTTACAATAAGGAACCCTAACAATAATATTGGTAATTATTTCAGTTTCTATATTACTACGCTTATACCCTATCAGAATCAAGCAAGATTTTGAAAGGTTTCTTCGCTGAGGTTTCGCTGAGAGACGTAGAAGAACCCATGAAGTCAGCTTGCCGCACGGCACCATTCCGACCCAGGGCTCCCACTTCATGGACTTGTCTCAGTCTCCTCGAGAGGGACAAGGGTTTAGGGTTAAGGGTTTAGGGTTTAGCTTCCTGTCGAAAGTGGGTTCGTCCACCTCAACGTCCTGCCAAGCATTGGTCCTGCCACCAAAGTTCGTGCCGGACTGCACGTGTACCACGCATGCTTTGCTTACCAGTAAACTATTGGGAAGCTGCGGCCAGCGCAAGCCAATTTCTGGGTCAAGGTTCACAAAGTCCTAAACCCCAAACCCTGAAC